GATCGCTTACTGTACCTGTGTGCTCAGGATAATTAATAGAACCCCCCGCAGGATTTCATTCCTGTCTATGCCATGTTTGAGAGATTCACCCTCTCTCTTTGTCTATTGCAGAGGTAGGCAACCTTTCAGAGGATGGGATCTACCTGGACAACATGGAGGAAATGAAGGATCCCCAGGGGATCCCAATAAAAAGACAGCATGAAGAACACATAGTGTGTCAGAGCAGTATCCACTTCCTCCACATACTTGACATCACCCCCCCATCCCACCCCTACAGTAGTGTCCTGTGCCCCCCCCCACCACCAGCACCATAGCAGTCCCCAAACCACCACCACCACCATAGCAGTCCCCCAAAAGCAGTGTCCTCCACATCATCCCCTCCTTTCCAATGTATTGTCCTGTGCCCTCCTGTAGTGTCCTCTACCCATCTGCCCCCCAAATGCAGTTTCCTCTCTCCCCCCAAAAAAAGCAGTGTTCTCTGCACCTCCATCCCCCAAAGCAGTGTCCTCTGTCCCTCTCCCCCCTCCCTCAAAGCAGTGTCCTCTGCCCCCTTCACATCATCCCCCCCTCCTTCCCCACAAACACACAAACACACAGCGCTGTGTAGGTAGCACTCTCCTACCTGACAGTAGAGTGGAGAATGGAAGGCAGCATAATGCTGGTGATTGGTTAACTCAAAAGGTTAACTGAGGCAGTTCCCGTCCCCACCCTTCATCCAGTACAATGCTGCCTCCCACTCTGTGCTCTGCAGTGAAGATGAGAGCGGCGGAGGCTGGGGGTAGCAGGGCCATGTTCACAATCTACCTGTCAGCTGCCCGAATGCAATCGACGGCTTGTTGACCCCCAGTCTAATGGGTGCTGCAAACTTTAACTGTGCAATCTGCTGATCGGTTGCTTGAGCATGCACGTCTAAAGGGATCCCTGGGGTGTGTTCTTTCGTATGATGCTTAGGGAAAAATAGATTGATGAGAGAGAAAGCTATTAGCTGTGAGAGGTGGGCAACAACAGTATAGATCAGGAAAAGGGGATTGATTGATCAAGGTGGACTCATGATGACCACTGCAGCTTCAAAGGGTTACATTGTAGAGATTCAAGTTTGCAGGGAATTGAGAGCAATCAGTTTAATTTTCAATGTGGTGTATATATCTTGCCATATATTTTATTATAACAACTGAAAGCTTACAAATATCAAGATACGATACACTCCTAATGTGTCATGGCAGTGAAGTTCTTTATCTCCCTTTTTTTCAGTCTCCCAGAAGGATCAATTCCAAAGCCAATATCTAAAACAACTTTTCAAACAGATAATAGCGCAAACAGGAACCAATCAGAGTGATGGGGCTCAGCAGACAAAAAACAAATATTTTTCTGATTTTGATATCCTTGGATTACTTTTCTCCAAGAAGCCCCTGAGCACCAAAGCTCTGATCTTCATCACCATAACAGCTTTCGTGTTTTTCTTCTTGGTCACCCTCGCATGCATGTAAGAATCTGAAGATTTCATATGATTCAAAACCAGCGTAAATTGACCTAGCCAAAACAACATGGCCGCTGTGTCTGCTGCAGCCATACTCCGGCTGTAGAATAAGCCATAGGAACATGCCACCATTAATGTAAAAACTAGTCTTTTACTGACAATTTTGTCCCCGAGGAAGCCCTACTAAAACCAACTTTTTGGGTGAATGGAAAAATACCCTTACATTGGTGGTCTGTAGGAAGAATGCTCCCCTTACATTGCTGGCCAGGAAGAATGCTTCCCATACATTGCAGGCCAATAGGAAGAATGCTCCCCTTACATTGGTGGCCAATAGGAAGAATATTCCCCTTACATTGGTGGCCAATAGGAAGAATATTCCCCTTACATTGGTGGCCAGTAGGAAGAATGCTCCCCTTACATTGGTGGCCAATATGAAGAATATTCCCCTTACATTGGTGGCCAGTAGGAAGAATGCTCCCCTTACATTGGTGGCCAATATGAAGAATATTCCCCTTACATTGGTGGCCAGTAGGAAGAATGTTCCCCTTACATTACTGGCCAATAGGAAGAATATTCCCCTTACATTGGTGGCCAGTAGGAAGAATGCTCCCCTTACATTGGTGGCCAATATGAAGAATGCTCCCTTTACATTTCTGGCCAATAGGAAGAATATTCCCCTTACATTAACATTCGTGGATAGTAGGAAGAATTCTCCCCTTAGATTGGTGGCCAATAGGAATAATATTCCCCTTACATTGGTGGCCAATAGGAAGAATATTCCCCTTACATTGGTGGCCAGTAGGAAGAATGCTCCCCTTACATTGGTTGCCAATATAAAGAATGCTCCCCTTACATTTGTGGCCAATAGGAAGAATATTCCCCTTACATTGGTGGCCAATATGAAGAATATTCCCCTTACATTCGTGACCAATAGGAAGAATATTCCCTTTACATTCGTGGCCATAGTAGGAAGAATTCTCCCCTTACATTTGTGGCCAATAGGAAGAATATTCCCCTTACATTGGTGGCCAATAGGAAGAATGTTCCCCTTACATTGGTGGCCAGTAGTAAGAATTCTCCCCTTACATTTGTGGCCAATTGGAAGAATATTCCCCTTACATTGGTGGCCAGTAGGAAGAATTTCCCCTTACATTTGTGGCCAATGGGAAGAATATTCCCCTTACATTGGTGGTCAGTAGGAAAAATTCCCCTTACATTGGTGGCCAGTAGTAAGAATGCTCCCCTTACGTTAGTTGCCAATATGAAGAATGCTCCTCCTACATTGGTGGCCAATAGCAAAGAATGCTTCCTTTACATTGGTGGTCAATAGAAAGAATGCCCTTTCATTGGTGGCATTGGGAAGAAGAAATGCCCCCTTACATTGGTGGTCAATTGGGAAGAATGCCCCTTACATTGGTGGCCATTGGGAAGAATGCCCCTTACATTGGTGGTCAATGGAAGAAATGTCCCTTACATTGGTGGCCATTGGGAAGAATATTCCCCTTACATTGGTGGCCAATAGGAAGAATATTCCCCTTACATTTGCGGCCAGTAGGAAGAATGCTCCCCTTACATTGGTGGCCAATATGAAGAATATTCCCCTTACATTGGTGGCCAGTAGGAAGAATGCTCCCCTTACATTGGTGGCCAATATGAAGAATATTCCCCTTACATTGGTGGCCAGTAGGAAGAATGCTCCCCTTACATTGGTGGCCAATATGAAGAATATTCCCCTTACATTGGTGGCCAGTAGGAAGAATGCTCCCCTTACATTGGTGGCCAATATGAAGAATATTCCCCTTACATTGGTGGCCAGTAGGAAGAATGTTCCCCTTACATTACTGGCCAATAGGAAGAATATTCCCCTTACATTGGTGGCCAGTAGGAAGAATGCTCCCCTTACATCGGTGGCCAATATGAAGAATGCTCCCTTTACATTTCTGGCCAATAGGAAGAATATTCCCCTTACATTCGTGGATAGTAGGAAGAATTCTCCCCTTATATTGGTGGCCAATAGGAATAATATTCCCCTTACATTGGTGGCCAATAGGAAGAATATTCCCCTTACATTGGTGGCCAGTAGGAAGAATGCTCCCCTTACATTGGTTGCCAATATAAAGAATGCTCCCCTTACATTTGTGGCCAATAGGAAGAATATTCCCCTTACATTGGTGGCCAATATGAAGAATGCTCCCTTTACATTCGTGACCAATAGGAAGAATATTCCCTTTACATTCGTGGATAGTAGGAAGAATTCTCCCCTTACATTTGTGGCCAATAGGAAGAATATTCCCCTTACATTGGTGGCCAATAGGAAGAATGTTCCCCTTACATTGGTGGCCAGTAGTAAGAATTCTCTCCTTACATTTGTGGCCAATTGGAAGAATATTCCCCTTACATTGGTGGCCAGTAGGAAGAATTTTCCCCTTACATTTGTGGCCAATGGGAAGAATATTCCCCTTACATTGGTGGTCAGTAGGAAAAATGTTCCCCTTACATTGGTGGCCAGTAGTAAGAATGCTCCCCTTACGTTAGTTGCCAATATGAAGAATGCTCCTCCTACATTGGTGGCCAATAGCAAGAATGCTTCCTTTACATTGGTGGTCAACAGAAAGAATGCCCTGCTTTCATTGGTGGTCATTGGGAAGAATGCCCCTTACATTGGTGGTCATTGGGAAGAATGCCCCTTACATTGGTGGTCATTGGGAAGAATGCCCCTTACATTGGTGGTCAGTGGGAAGAATGTCCCTTACATTGGTGGTCATTGGGAAGAATGTCCCTTACATTGGTGGTCACAGGGAAGATTTCTCCTTACCTTGGTGGTTAATAGAAAGATTTCCCCACTTACTAGACATGTATTTTGTTTTAATACGATTCCTTTTTCGGACGAAAAATTCATTTTCAGTGATTCAGATGTATATAAATCTCCAAATGGACATGTCAACGAATCTAAAAAAAGTTATAACAAAATTAACAAATACATTTGTTTCATTCAGATGACGTCACATGATGCAATAGAAGTTCAGGCCCATGGGGAAATAAACAAAATTTTCGAATTTGTTTGATAATTTGGATTCGGATCTGAATAGTAGATCTGAATTTCATTCCATTTGTTATTTTGGATGCACATGACGCCAGTCAATATTGTCCAGTCAGCCCATGCCATTTCAGTGGGTTGGACTAGCATCCAAAAATACTGTTCAATTCAATAACATATCGAATATATAGCAATCTTTCAGAAACATTTTTCTAATCCACCTGGACCAACATATACTGTATATGAAAAGAATACCGAAGATACAAAATGAATTCTGAGAACTAATCAGGTCAACATAACAAATATGACAAAACAAAATTCTTCAATTAGCTAATGGATCCGAAATGAAAAATTTACGACATGCACATGTTTACCACTTACATTGGTGGTCAGTAGGAAGAATGTTCCTTACAATGGTGGTTGGTGGGAAGGATGTCCCTTACATTGGTGATCAGTGGGAAGAATGTTCCTTACATTGGTGATCAGTGGGAAGAATGTTCCTTACATTGGGGGTCAGTGGGGAGAATGTCCCTTACATTGGGGATCAGTGGGAAGAATGTTCCTTACATTGGTGATCAATGGGAAGAATGTCCCTTACATTGGTGATCAGTGGGAAGAATGTCCCTTACATTGGTGATCAGTGGGAAGAATGCTCCTTAGATTGGTGGTCAGTGGGAAGAATGTCCCTTACATTGGTGATCAGTGGGAAGAATGTTCCTTACATTGGTGATCAGTCTGAAGAATGTTCCTTACATTGGTGATCAGTGGGAAGAATGTTCCTTACATTGGTGATCAGTGGGGAGAATGTTCCTTACATTGGTGATCAGTGGGGAGAAATGTTCCTTACATTGGTGATCAGTGGGAAGAATGTTCCTTACATTGGTGATCAGTGGGAAGAATGTTCCTTACATTTGTGATCAGTGGGAAGAATCTTCCTTACATTGGTGATCAATGGAAGAATGTTCCTTACATTGGTGATGAGTGGGAAGAATGTTCCTTACATTGGTGATCAGTGGGAAGAATGTCCCTTATATTGGTGATCAGTGGGAAGAATGTCCCTTACATTGGTGATCAGGGGAAGAATGTCCCTTACATTGGTGATCAGTGGGAAGAATGCTCCTTAGATTGGAGGTCAGTGGGAAGAATGTCCCTTATATTGGTGATCAGTGGGAAGAATGTCCCTTACATTGGTGATCAGTGGGAAGAATGTCCCTTACATTGGTGATCAGTGGGAAGAATGCTCCTTAGATTGGTGGTCAGTGGGAAGAATGTCCCTTACATTGGTGATCAGTGGGAAGAATGTCCCTTACATTGGTGATCAGTCTGAAGAATGTTCCTTACATTGGTGATCAGTCTGAAGAATGTTCCTTACATTGGGGGTCAGTGGGAAGAATGTTCCTTATATTGGTGATCAGTGGGAAGAATGTTCCTTACATTGGTGGTTGGTGGGAAGAATGTCCCTTATATTGGTGATCAGTGGGAAGAATGTCCCTTACATTGGTGATCAGTGGGAAGAATGTCCCTTACATTGGTGATCAGTGGGAAGAATGTTCCTTACATTGGTGGTCAGTGGGAAGAATGTCCCTTACATTGGTGATCAGTGGGAAGAATGTTCCTTACATTGGTGGTCAGTGGGAAGAATGTCCCTTACATTGGGTGGTCAGTGGGAAGAATGTCCCTTACATTGGTGATCATGGGGGAAGAATGTCCCTTACATTGGTGATCAGTGGGAAGAATGTCCCTTACATTGGTGATCAGTGGGAAAAATGTTCCTTACATTGGTGATCAGTGGGAAGAATGTCCCTTACATTGGTGATCAGTGGGAGATTGTCCCTTACATTGGTGATCAGTGGGAAGAATGTTCCTTGCATTGGTGATCAGTGGGAAAAATGTTCCTTACATTGGTGATCAGTAGGAAGAATGTTCTTTACATTGGTGATCAGTGGGAAGAATGTCCCTTATATTGGTGGTCAGTGGGAAGAATGTCCCTTACATTGGTGATCAGTGGGAAGAATGCTCCTTACATTGGTGGTTGGTGGGAAGGATGCTCCTTAGATTGTTGGTCAGTGGGAAGAATGCCCTCCTTGCTGACACCTAAAAAGATCATTGGTGTCATGTCACTGTTTTTTCCTAGTAGAGTTGGCCCTGACATTATGCAGGCATCATCAGATGGATGGTCAATCAGCTACAGATCTCCTAGTAAACTATGGAGGAACCCTGGTTGACAATGGCTTGTGGATACACTAACCCTAACATAGGGTGATCAGAAACCTTTGCTTTTAGAAGTCTGCCATTGCTGACCTCTTCTTCTGCTGGTCACCTTGCTGTCATACTTATCTAAGGGTTTCAATTTTCCAAGTCATCTTTCCATAACCAGCATGTGGTTACACAGGCAGCTAAATGGTTAGCACTTCCACCTGACATCAGTAAGGTCGTTGGTTCAAATCCCAACCATGACACAACCTGCTTAGAGTTTGCATTTTCTCCCTGTGCCTGTGTGGGTTTCCTCTGGGAACTCGGTTTCCTTCCACACTCCAAAGACATGATGGTAGGTGAATTGGATCCTGTCTAAATTGGCCCTAATATGTGTATATGTATGTGAGTTGGGGACCTTAGATTGTACACCCCTTGAGGGTTAGGGACTGATGTGAATGTACAATATATATACATTCAAAGTGCTGCGTAAATTGATGGCGATATATAAGTACTTATAATTCATAAATTAGGAGATTTGAAGCCACTGGGCCAGCTTGACAGCCAGCATTTTGAGAAGGCAACCCCCCCCCAAGCACATGTGTCATTTAATTGATAGGCAGATTTGTTATATTGTAGATACAGAATATACTTCCTGTCTTTTAGGTCTGTCATTCTTATTATTTATTACAGGTATTTATAGAGCGCCAACAATTTATACAGTTCTTTATATATATTGTACATTCACATCAGTCCCCACCCCTCAAGACACTTACAATCAAAGGTCCCAATCTCACATACTAGAGCAAATGTAGATAGGAGCCAATTACCTACTGGCATGTCTTTGGAGTGTGGAAACTACAGTGCCTAGAGGAATATGCAAACTCCATGCAGGTAGTATTGTGATTGTGATTCAAACCAATGACCATAGTACTGCAAAATAGAAGCCGCTAACCAGTAAGCCATTGTGCTTGATTGACAGTGCTGCTATAATCAAAAGCAGGTAAGTTGCCTATGAATGCTGAACAGATGGGATTTTTGCTCCTCCTCAGAGCCTGAGCGGTATAGAGGAGACCAAGCTGCTGCTCTATGGAGGAAACCCATGACGTTTTCTTTGGAGCCCTGTTGAGTTGGCCATACCCTATACCAGGGGTGTCACACTGGTGGCCCTCCAGCTGTTGCCAAACTACAAGTCCCATCATGCCTCTGCCTTTTGGAGCCATGCTTGTACCTGTTAGAGCCTGGGCGGTATAGAGGAGACCAAGCTGCTGTTCTATGGAGGAAAACCATGACGTTTTCTTTGGAGCCCTGTTGATTGGCCATACCCTATACCAGGCGTGTCACATTGGTGGCCCCTCCAGCTGTTGCCAAACTACAAGTCCCATCATGCCTCTGCCTTTTGGAGCCATGCTTGTACCTGTCAGAGCCTGGGCGGTATAGAGGAGACCAAGCTGCTGCTCTATGGAGGAAACCTATGACATTTCCTTTGGGGCCCTGTTGAGTTGTCCATAACCTATACCAGGGGTGTCACACAGGTGGCCCTCCAGCTGTTGCCAAACTAAAAGTCCCAACATGCCTCTGCCTTTGGGAGCCATGCCTGTACCTGTCAGTCTTGCAATGTCTCTTGGGACTTGTAGTTTGGCAACAGCTGGACGGCCGCCCGTTTGACACTCATGCCCTATACAATAAATATGATTGTACAATATATATACAATCTCCTCCAGATCTACCAAAAATACACAACTGTAGTCCTACCTGAACAATAAAATCCATTCCATTTGTATCCAGTCAGGTCGGCCTTGTTCTGCATAGTCAGGGGTAGGTCCTAAGCAGATTGCATAGTGTACGGCCAGCTTCCTTCCATTGTATTTCTTCAATTGGCCCTCTTCTATCTGCTCAAAAAAAGTTCCCCATCACTTGGGATTCTGTCTTACATATTTATTTAACGTTTAATAAAGATCATAACAGCGGAGATATCAAATTCTCTAGATGACAAGCAGGCAGAGAATCACAGTGCTGTTAGCTCTAGGTCAGCGGTGTCAAACTGGCGGCCTTCCAGCTGTTGCAAAACTACAAGTCCCATCATGCCTCTGCCTTTGAGCATCATGCTTGTAACCATCAATCTTGTAATGCCTCATGGAACTTGTAGTTTGACAACAGTTGGAGAGCCGCCAGTTTGACACCCGTGCTGTACAGTCATACATTTTTTTTTGTCATTTTCTTACAGATCCTGCATCTGTTAGGTCATCGATGGCGACTGTAGACTTCGAAGAAGACAAGACCAAAAAAGTCATATAGTCATTCCCTCGAACCCCTCGTGTATCACATTGTATTGTTATTGTTCTGTCGCATGTTCTGTCTCCCATTGTAATGTACAGCGCTGAGCGAACTGTTGGCGCTTTATAAATACTGTATAATAATAATAATTCCCGTCATGCTATAACACATATGTATATGGAATGCTTATTAAATAAATAAAAATATATGTAGCACTACCCCCTTAGGAGTAGCTGAGTTCTTTTCAGGCTCCCTGCCGTTCTGGACCCCTTTCTGAAAGCCCAACCCTTGCGGACACCACAGTACTCTCTGGGCCAGAGTAAGTTATCCCCAGAAAACAGACAAGCAACAAGCAGACAAAAGCAGACGAGCTCTGTGTGTGAGCAAATTCCTCAATAGGCGATTTAATTTCTTGCAGTTATACGATGTAGCCACTTCTTGGCATAATTTATACAAAATTCTAAAATTAACATTTCCACAATAAAAATAAAATAAGTTTGGTTTATTGAATATATATATATATATATATATATATATATATATATATATATATATATATCGCTTATTAAAAAAGTATAAATTCTAAAATTTGCATTTCCACAAAAAATAGAAATGAAAAAAAATCATATAGGTTTGGTTTATTGAATATATATATTTATTCTTAATAATAATTAATTATAATAATTTATTCTTAATAATATACAAAAGCTCAAAAGAGCAGGGCCCTCGAACCCCTCGTGTATTGTATTGTTTCTGTCTTATCTCATGTTCTGTCCCCCTTGCTATTGTACAGCGCTGAGCAAACCCTTTGGCGCTATATAAATACTATATAATAATAATAATACTATATATATATATATACATTAAAAATGCTTATTAAAAAAATTAATTTATTTTTTTTCTTTTAAAACATATATATAGACACACATAAAAAAAGGAAAAAAATATATATATGTATAGGTGTTCTTGGTCCTGAGCAAGGGCGGACTGACCATTTGGAAATTCGGGCACTGCCCAAGGGCCCGGGGTCAGTAGGGGGCCCCATGAGATGCCCCTGGTACCTCTTTCATAGGCTTTTTTGAGTTTGGGCAAGAACACAGGGGCCCCATGATCCCCTATTGCCCGGGGGCCCCATGAGTTGTCAGTCCGCCCCTGGTCCTGAGTCCTTACTATTTATCACCTGTCAAGGCTGCGCCTTGTTATTTTTCATACCCCATACTGTTGTATTTTATATGTATTCACAGCCGACTACATAGATGTGTTCTCTGTAATTCAATTAGCTTAAGGCTACTAAGAATTAATTAATATTGAACAAGAAAACATAACCCATGAAAAAAATGAGGAATAATTAAATCTAACTTACATATTTGTTTGTTCTTACTACTACATAAAACAGTCAGTAGGGGGCAGCAACAAAGCAGACAACAGCAGATGAGCTGTGTGTGGTCAGGTTGCTCAATGACAAGTCTAATTTGATCTCTAGCCTGTTGCACGATTTAATCACTTCCTGACAATCTCCAAAATCTGAAACAAGTCGATTTGGACACCTAATTGTGTAAGGGTAGAACAGCCCCAGGGCTGTAGGGGACCAGGGGCGGACTGACAACTCATTGGGCCCCCCCGGGCAATAGGGGATCATGGGGCCCCTGTGTCCTTGCCCAAACTCAAACAATCCTATGAAAAAGGTACCAGGGGCATCTCATGGGGCCCCCTACTGACCAGGGCCCTCGGGCAGTGCACGAGTTTCCAAATGGTCAGTCCGCCCCTGGTAGGGACATGTAAGATTTCAATCACTTGGCAAGAATTGTTTTGTAACATTTAGTGCAGACACTTTAGCTCACAATGAAAACATACTAATTGTGTTTACTCCATTCAGCAAAGCAATAAATTCATCTTTCATTACTGAATTCTGAACAAGTGACATAGAAAAAAGATGCCGCCTGCGATCACAATTCTTGAGATTTAGCCATTGATTCAGAAAAGTATTGAATATAGAGGATAAGTATAAGACAGGCAACTATCATTATCAGAACCGGTGAGAACAAAAATAAATATTTCGGCCAAGGTCAGCCTGTCAATTATAAAAAAGCCTAGGAGCCTTTTCACACCTTTCTGTTCTGAGGTGTTGACTATGTCACAGGTTAAGTCTTTGTTTCTGTTCATTTGAAAGGGCTGCCAATGCTCCAGGATAGACATAAAAAGACAGCCATGGACCATTTCCAGCAAAGCAGAACATTACAATGCACAATAGTGTGCTACAACGCATGTGTGACAGATGGTAGAATTGCTAAATGTCCTCCAAGGGTTGGAAAGGGTCAACAAACCCCATTGTGGTCAGCTTTAGAGGACTCTCAGGTGTTCTTCAACCTCTTCTTGGTAATTAGTTAATTGGCATTAATCTGAGGGTTCCTTTCCTTATATAACCCTCTGTAAAGTGTAGGGAGGTAAATAATATTCTTTTAGTAGTTGTTTTATTAGTAAGTAGGAAGGTTACGGGACTTGAGCTGCAAAAGGTGAGTTAGTGGCTGAAATTGTGGTTTATGGTATGGGTGTTTATGCTGGCTTACACAAG